ACGCTCGAGTGGGTGTTGAGGTGCGAGGCCCTGCGGCGGTGACGGCTCTGGCCCGTCGGGTGGAAGAAAGGGCGCTTGGCGGTGTCGGGCAGGGCCCTGCTGCCGCCCGCGGGGCTGGTGTCAGACTGGGCCTCAGGAGCACACGGGCTCGGCTGTGTGCGTGTCCTCCCCTTCTCCCTTCCAAAAAACAAACGGAAACTCTAAGCTAGTAACCAGAGCAGCAACAGTTTTGTCTTTGCTCCCCTGCTCTGATATGTCTCTGGGCTCTACAGTGAGTTGCCAGCAGATTGACCGGCTGCTGGCCGTCATCTCTGCCTTGTGCCCTGGCCCCTCTTAAGTGCCCTTCAGTCAGTGCAAGGCTAATCTCTGTTTGCACTGTAGCTTTATCTGGTTCACCATCTCGAAGGTGCCTCCATTAAGCATGGAAAGATTGAAGATTGGAAGCCTTGCCAGCGAGCTGCATGCACGCTGTGTGGTGGGAGAGGCTCTTTCCCACTCTTGCCACATCAGCAGCCCTTCTGACATCCACTGGAAGGATTGTAGTTTAGCCATCTACGAGATTGGGCTGCTGCTTGTGAAGCTAGCGCGTAGCATACTAGCAGTCCATTCAGGTGTAAGGATTTTAATTTAAAATGGGCTATTTGTAGGTTATTTAATTAAAAAAAAATTCCAAAAAAAAAGTCACTGCAGTTAGTCCTAGGTTTAAGTTTTGCATGCATATGAGCAAAGTTCTTTGAGAGTACTTTCTGAAGATGCTTCAGAAGGGGTATTGTGCTTGGTTTATTCATTGTTAATTTAGCTAAACCTGATAATAGCTAGAATTTTCACGATGTACTGGTCCTGCTTAAGAATTTTTAGCCTGTATGAAAGCTTAGTTGTTTGTTTAAAATTGGTACATGTAGCAGTTGTATATTTTTGATGTTTGTATAAATCCAGCTTTTATTCATTTCTGCTGCTTTCAGTTTTGGAAAAGATTAGCTTATGAATTTGTAGCCCTGTGTATACTGTAAAATTTCTCAGCCTGGCTTGCATGTGCTCTAAACTACAAACAGGTGAAACTTCATACAGCAGCCACTATTTGTTTTAATTGTATCTGACCCATAAAAGCAGAGGAGCAATGAATGATCTGACCGCACGTCTCTGGAGCCTTGCTCAAGATGCAGATTTGTAATGTCCAGTTTTGTTGAACATCTGAAGAGTAAATCCGAGTGAGACATTTGTACTAAAGAAAACTTGCTGATTTGTTGAATGTTGACAAATTCAAAATATTTTTTTTCATTTTCTGGCAATTTAAGATTTGCCGTGTGAATGTTGAACTTTTATCCAGATACTAAATTTTGTTTTTAAACCTACTGTCATGTATAGGAGTTAGAAAAGGATTCAAACAGATCAACAGTCAGTTGAATGTGAGCTTTCTGCAACTGAATCTTTGAAATGTTGCATTCAATTAACTTTTAGGCAATTCTTAAGCCTAGTAGCTTGAAAATCGTACTACAATGTTAACTTTCTGTTGGACAGCTAGGCATGGAAAAAACATTGCTTCTTTTTACATTTCGTTTTGGTAGGTGCTGGTTTACTTGTTGCAGCTCAAGATGCTACAGAAGATGAGGAAGCTGTGGAAGATACTGTAGTTGAAGATGAAGATGATGAAGCAGAAGTTGAAGAAGATGAGCCTACAGACTTGGTAATTGTGCATGAATGTTACTTCAGAAGTGTGAACTGGAGCAAAAGTGCTTCAAGTTAGATAGCTTAGATGTATGTAGGTATATATTTGCTGGTATCTCAATCTTTTTCAAAGTTTCCAGTTAAACTTATGCTCCATGTGAAGTTTCAAAACAATCTTTCTTTCTGAATCAGCAATGCAAGGACTGCATGGGGACAACTAGGCTTCCAATGACAAACTGCAGTCCAGAAAAGAGCACCAAGTGGGGTAACTAAGTCTCACAGAAGCTCTTAGCAGTTCTCTCCTAGATGCATCTCAGTAACTTGAGAACAGCCTTGGGGTAGAGGGCTGCTTCACAGTGGCTACTTTTGTATCAGTGTGCAAGAGGAAACAATCTTTGTAGTATAAATCTGTCTTGGATTTATTAGTGAAGTTCTTCCATAATGCTGAAAAACATGTTTTCCAGCCTGCTTTCACCTGACTATATTCAGAGTCTGTGACTTATTGCAGGGTATGCTTGTTGAACATGTGGTTGTATTGCTCTTTTGGGTCCCTTTCTTCAGGCTGAACAAATAAAGTATTTTATGATAATGAAGTTTAGGGCATGACAAGGAGGAGAAAACAGAATTTAAGCCATGCATGATAAAAAATAAAGAACTAGTAAACTGTTCTTGTAAGCTAATTAGACTGATGTTTGGTTACTGATGTGAAGTTGAACTTATGGTTGACTGGATCTTCCAAGTATTAGAAGATATGGTAGGTATTCAGTACTGCTAGAACTTAATAAATGTAATTTGTTTTTAATGCATAGTGTTAGACAGGAAGTACAAGGGGGTTACTTTTGGGCAGTTCATTGTATCTGTCACTGAAACACAAGGTACAGTTTTGCATAGCAGCTAGACTTTAAAATGCCAGGATCGGTTGTGGTTCGTTGCTTCCCTGGCCCATGGCGCCTGTACAGCTTATACAGTTGGGTATACACTGTTACAAGCGGTGGTTTTAGCAAGCAGGAAATCAAATGATCTAGCCAATTTGCAAGCAGCGTTTTTAGGAAGCTGTTCAAAATGGGGTCAGACATGCATTTACTCATGGTGAAGACAGCCACCATCTCCCATGTGGAAAATAGGCCCTTAATGGTTGTATTTGCCCAGTGAATAAAAAGCTGCTGTAAATATTTCTCCCTGCACAGTGGAAATAACTTAGTTGCCTCATGGCTGTTTACTACTTTAAAATGCTTATTTTAAGTAAAAATATTTAGATATAAGTGCTTAATATTTAGGTTCTTCCCTTTTCCTTCCACTCCAAAAAATGAATTTTATTGTGGTTTTCTGTTTGCAAGCCTTTCAGTTGAGCTTTCAGCAGAGATCAGTCCCTGTGAAATCGTAACAGAAGTATAAATGCTGAAAAAGGTGTTAAATCTAAAGGGAGCACAGATTCTATATTCTAAATTTGCAACAGCAGAAATTGATGCTAATGCTTACTGTCAGTACTTTCTCACACTGATACTTGTTATGCAGGTTTCTTATAAAACAAGCATGGTCTTTGCATCACTGTTTATAGGCTATTTAAAAAAAATCTCTTGTCCTAGACAGAAGAAAAAGAGGAAGAAGACTTGTCAGGCGAACCTAAAGCCTCACCTAGTGCTGATACAACCATCTTATTTGTGAAAGGTGAAGGTGAGTCCTGTGCCAGTCTGCCATCAGCTTCCTTAGTGCTGCTTAAAATATATCAATATGTGCATGAGAACAATGAAGCTCCCAAATACCTTATCTTTTCCAAGTATTTGGTGTTTAAAACCAAGGGCTAGATGTGATGTATGAAGCTTCTAACAGTTGAATATTTTTGTGTTCTAGACTTTCCAGCAAACAACATCGTAAAGTTTCTGGTAGGCTTCACCAATAAGGGCACAGAGGATTTTATTGTTGAGTCGCTTGATGCTTCTTTCCGTTACCCTCAAGACTATCAGTTTTATATCCAGAACTTCACAGCTCTCCCACTGAATACAGTAGTTCCACCACAGAGACAAGCCACATTTGAGTACTCTTTCATCCCAGCTGAGCCTATGGGTGGTCGTCCTTTTGGACTAGTTATCAACCTGAACTACAAAGATGTAAATGTAAGACTCATGTTGTCATTCTTCATTCTTGGTTGATGGCAATGTCAGGAGGGAATTACTTAGTCAAGTTAATGCCTCTTCAGTGAATGCCTTTGGGTTTTCTAGCAAAACAATAAATGCAAACACAAAGTAGCACAATTGTGTTTCACAGCACTCCTCTATATATGTGGACAAGTGCTGTGTATGTTAGACTTTAAGTTACATTAACAGTGGAAGCTACATTGCCTCAGAATTATGTAGAAGTGGCTGTAGACACTTAAAGCTTCACTGGGATAATGTAAATTTCACTGTACCTTTCAACTGGGTTTTAACAAACTCAGTGCTCCTGAATCCATTCCCAAATATGGGACTAGCACTTGTAGCTGGGAGAAGAATTTTTCCAGAAGCATAAATGGGGATTAAAATATGGGATTCCTTTTTGTTTTAGTGTGGGCTGAAGTATAAGACTTCTGTCGTGTTCAGAGTGTTTTGATCGAGCTAATAAGGCATATAATTCTTTGGCATATAATAACTTAATCTACAGAAAATCTCCTTTCTGGTTGATATCAAGGCTTCTCTTGTACAAAAATTTGTTCAAGAAATTGATTGAAAATGTGGAAACTTTGTTATAGGGCAATGTGTTCCAAGATGCTGTCTTCAATCAAACGGTTACAATTATTGAGAAAGAAGATGGGCTGGATGGAGAAACGTAAGTAGACTGGAGACTGAAAATTAGTTGATACACTGGTAGAAGCAATTATTGATGGGGTCGGTGAGGATTGCTCTTGTATCTTCATTTTATTGGATGCTAGATGTAATCTGGGTCCTGCTAATGGCACTGGACTTTGTATACACTCAAAACCTTAGTTTAAAGGAAAAGAGCTTTTCAGTATCAAGTTCTGTGTCAGTGTTAGAAATCTTCAGGATTAATACTGTGTTAACAGTTCATGCAGATGTTTTGCCAAGCCTGGAATATCTCATAATGCTACATAAATATATACATTAATAAAAAACTGTCAAGCTTTTGTTTGTGGGAGTTTTTCTCCCCCCTCTAATTAAAAAAGTATTGGGCTGGAATAACATGCTTCTGGAGCACTCTTGTGTAAGCCAGAATAATCTAAACTGAAAGATTCCAGTTCAGTTCAGTTTCCTTATTGTACTTTCTCTATGGGAAGCAGATTTCTTTCATGAATGAAAACTTCAGTTTGATAGGGGAATTTACACTCATTCCTTATTGTACTTTCTCTATAGGAAGCAGATTTCTTTCATGAATGAAAATCTGTCTTAAAGATGTAGTTAATATGGCAGACCTTCTGTATTGTAAGCATGTGTTGTGATAATATATTTTTAAATATTGCAATATTGAATTGGGTTTTTAAGAGAACCTTATGAGTTAAGTATTTCTGAAATTTTTCCTTTGAAGACAATGAATATTTGAATTTTCCTGCTATAGGTGGTTTGCACTCAGAGCAAACTTCCATTTTTAAAAGGGCAACCAAAGGAAATAACTGCTGCATGAATTCATATTTGCAATAAGCATCACTGAAAGCAACTGATAATCTGTATGTGTGTTGTCCTGGTGATAAAGGAGCTCTTGTAAGAATTCAAATTCATCAGTTAGGACCAGACTGAATTAATATCCTGTGAATGGGCACTTCCCATGAAACAGGGATGTTCAGTTAAGTCTCTGCTGCAGTTAAGTCCATAGTTTCTCTAATAAATCTGAATGAAAATGTTGTAGTAGCTTCTTTGCCTAACAAGTTCTGCCTGCTCCTAAAATTTTAGATTGAATTTATGTGCATGTACTGCTAATTATCATCAGGTATTTCAGATGGAATTTTTGTCAATGAAATTAATGCTTTTTTGTTTGTCTTAAGGAATCCTAACTGTCGAATACAGAACTAGATTCCTTAAGGCAAGGCTTTTCAAAAAGCTTGTTGCCAAAAATATGTATATCCTGGCAGTACTAGCCTTGTATTAGCATACTAAAAGTATGTAATGGATTTGAAAGCACACACAAAAATACTCATCTGTGACCCAACACCTTGAAATATGGTGTTGCCAAAGTGTCTGAACAGGCAATAAATTTCAATAATTATCAGTTTATAGAGTTTGAGTGTATATGGCACTAGAAATTAAATTTGAGATTACAGTTTCTTAAAAGGAGAAGTACTTAACATTTATTAGTTTCAGGTTCATTAGATATGTCTCTCCCTTACCCCTGTGTGGAGATCTGCATATGGCTTGGGAAAGATGAAGCAGGCATGTGGCCAAAGCAAGGCTTACTTGCTCTGCCTGTTTGTAAACTTGTAAATGCTTAAGATTAATGTTTTCTTAATTTTTTTCTTAAAGAATCTTCATGTATATGTTCCTTGCTGGACTTGGTCTACTTGTCATTGTTGGCCTACATCAGTTGTTAGAATCCAGGAAGGTGGGTAGTGTGTGGTATCTTTTCCTCCTGTCTACTTCATAACATAACTTCCTGTATTGAAGTATGAAGACAATCCTGTAAATCACTTCTAGCCTGGGATAGAACAGGCAAAACTTCAGAAATTTTACTTTAACAGGACTGAGACCTTGAAAATCCCTGGAAAAGCTAGTGACCATTTTTAAGACATTTGGACTGCTTGCCTAATGCTCTCTGGGTGTGTTTTTTACCATTGTACTAAAGCAGTTGAATTGAAGATTTTGACATGTTTTCCAAATGCTGGATATTCAGCCACTGATTTGATACAGGGTAGACTTTTTTATGGTATAGTCTTTATTATGTATCTGTTTTGTTAAACTAGATCAAGCTTTAGGGAAAAAAAAAATCTGTCTAGTACTTTCAGTGCTTAACAGTATTAGATTTGGGGCCTTCTGGATTCCTCTGTAATATTGTAACAGTTAAGGGTTTGTTAGGGTAACTGTTCTAGCAGGTATAGGTCATGAAGAAATTTGAATTTTATCTGCATGGGAAAATGGGCTGAAATAGTGTCTTTGTAGCTGAGCTTACATGGTGTTTCCCTTGGGAAGAAGTATGAAGTAACTTGTGCTATAAGCTCCATTTTGCAGGCTGTAACTCAAACACAAACATTGTGCTAATCTGATAAAGGACAACAAAATGGCTCCCTCCTTTTCTGCCCTCACAACAGGCATAATGAGCTTGCCCAGGGATGCATAAATTCTTGATATCTTGTCTGTAATTAGTATTGCAAGCAATTATAAGTAGTATAATTATAAGTAGGTGTTAATGTTAGGTAATGTGTAAAGATAGCTAGAGCTAAGCTAGAAAGATAGCTTGAAACTGCGGAAGACAGTATGTTCTCTTCTCTTTTCAGAGGAAGAGACCAGTACAGAAAGTAGAGATGGGAACATCAAATCAGAATGATGTTGATATGAGTTGGATTCCTCAAGAAACTTTAAATCAAATCAGTAAGTAACCTACCTTCTGAAACTGGAGCATAATAAACCTGTTACAGTTAAGTAGCTCATGCTAAATTCTCAGGACAGGATAGATCTGGGGAATAAAGTTGTCTAAAGCACTATGCTTAATAGGCTTACTATGTTAACTGCTCATTCTTGTATGTAGCAGACTTTGGTTGATATACTTGATGCAATAATGGCTATCACAGTGATCTTTTTTCTGTAGGCTTTCAACTGTATAAAATCTGTATCACAAAAGGCTTAAAGGGTAGGGGAGAACATCTCAAAGTATTTGCAAGATGTTTGAAAGCTGGCCTATTGGCTGAACCTTTAAGCATTAGAAGTGTGTGACCCTGTCTTGAAACTACCTTAAGACTTGGATCCATCATGTCTTTCACAAGTCAAAACCCAAATTCTACTGAGTATTTGACCTTCTTAAACAGCTCTGTGTGTGGATATTTCTAACTTCTCTTGCTCTTTCTTCTGTTTTGCTTTCCCATGGCTTCAGTGCAAAGTAGAAGAGGTGAGACAAACTGGTGCTTTAAAGAGTGGAAATTACTGATGTGTGTCTGTGGTAACTAAGCATAGAATTCAGGCTTCCTGCATGCAGTAACTGATGATGTGGCATGAACAGTAGCTAATTAGACAGACATCTGCACGTGTGCTTATATATGCATATATATAAAATACTCATATATGCCCATATAAATAAAACTAATCATTTCTAGTTATATTGCAGTAGAATAGCTTAGCTGTTACACATTGGTGAAATACTCTGGTCTGCTCTAACAGTGTCTAGAACCATTTACCTAAAATACAGATGTGCATTTTGTCTTCCACATCACCCTGCTGCAATCTCATGCTGCAGTTAATGATGAACCTGGAGGGCTAAGTGTGACCAATGGCTAAGCATATCTTTCAATCAAGCATAAAAACAGACTCAACTTGGAGTCTCTTAGTTACCCAGATCTCCTTATCCTAGATGAACTTCTACCACCAAGACACTGTCTTGCAGCCTAGATAAAAGTAGTACTTTGAAAACAATTTGCAGGAACTACTTAAATTTGAAAGACTCCTGTTTTGATGGAATAAGAATGTTCTTAGTGACCTTTATTCATGTAGAAATCTAGGGGGCCCTAGTTCTGATATCACACTGCCAAGAGAGCTGACCATTTCACATGTTCAATGCCTTTTCCTTTGTTAACTATTATTTATATTACACTATAAGTAAGGACTTAAGTTTCATTTCTGAGACTATAAGCTTTCTCCTGGATACTCTGTTTTT